TATGGGGCTCCCAAGTATTATGAAATCTTTCTGGCAAAAATTTGACACTTTTACAGTGAAATCAATTTAATTCATAAGAAATGTTTCTCATATTTAATAGTATCTGAAATAATATCACAGATAAATTTTACTGAATATCAACAAATTTTCTAAAATACAGACATTCTTCAAAGTTACTACTTTTTCATTGAGTATTGTAAACACCCGAACATTATTCAATCTTTCCAGTAACATTTCCAGCGAATTGAATGATTTACGCTGTTCTACATTCAATATATGAAGATTCAATCTCAGGGATTTTATTTTTGGTATTTTTATCACACAGATTTGTCTACCTTGAACTGTACTTTGTACTGTACTACAATTTAAACAGAAGTCCAGGGCTCACCATGAGATATGCGTGCTATGTACCAACAACAAACAGTCCCCTCTGACCTCAGGATGTTATACAGTGGAAACGTAAACAAGATAAGGCCAATCAAATATATTTTCTTGTTACTTTAATGGCATTGACTATTTTCGGCATTCATGCATTATACAACCAATGAAGATTTGGATTCCTGTCCAAGATCCTAACTCCTGTTTTTCTCAAGACTAAAAGTGTTAGGGATGAATTGTCCTTATATTTAATGCAGTGCAACAAGGCATATATGGACAGAATCATCAATACTGGTAGGGTGCATAAACTTCTATAAATCGTTTTTTCTGCTCAAAATGTTTCATGTTTTAAAGGAGCATAATGCCATAGTCAAAGTCACTACCAAGTTTTAAGAACCCCAGTGAAATGTTTTCTGGTAAGAAGTTTCACAATTTTTCCCCACTTAGCAAATCTTTTGTGAAATGAAAATGATTCTATGGAATGGTAATATATATGATTTTATTTGAAAAAATGAATAAACAGATTCTAAGATCCCAAAGCTGAATGATGCTAATGCCCACAAGGCGATTTAAAATAGTGAAGACTTGACAGAATTTAAAAATCAGTCAAGGATTTTTAAACCAAACGTTCTGATAGAAATACCTCAGTTCAAAAATGAAATCCAAATACCGTATACCACATAAACTTCAGTAGTACGCAAATTAATATAATACCTCAAATTTTGTATTTTGAGATAATAACTTGTACCTTAAATTCTAATCATATATTGCCCAAAATAAAGGAGTATTCAAGTATCCACTTTGTATCAATATTCTCCCAGCAATCGTTCACTAATTTTAAAGCTTTTGGCTTGTAAAGGGATGAAAATATGTTCGTCATTTTCCAGAAATATGTCGCCCAAGATGCAGTAATTCTTGTGTATACATATAAAAGTGGGAAACTTAAATAAAATGTGTTTGTCAGGAAATGTCCGCCACATGGTGGGGCAAGAGATGAGAATCGTGTGTATTACCAATCGTCAGTACAAGCAGGATTCATATGCCATGTAGAATTCAGGTACAAATGTGAATTTGAAGATACAAATCCGTACAACAAAGTATTTCTTATGTACATGCTAATATAATGCACTAAACGGACATAACCTAGATAAGATATCTCAAGATAACATCAAGTCAAGGTCTGTCAAAGCATGGTACTGACTCGAGTGATCTGACACGTTCGTTATTGTAGTGTTAATCACCATGTTGGGAATACAGGAATTATCGCTGCTGTTTTTGGCGGTAATTGCGATTTCTGGGACTAGCGCTTTATCAAATGCTGAACAATATTGTAAGTATTTGGATAAGTTACCATCAGAAGACAAAGTGGATGGAGAATTTGTCTTAGTACAACACTGGCTGCAGCGTGAATGTAAAGAAGCTGTATTGGGCGACATTGTGAAAACTTTGGCCACCATAGTGGATACAACCTTACAAGATGGTACAGAGAAATCTGAGGGGCGACCACATCAAATTATGAGGCGCCAGGCTGAGGTGGAAAGCAATGAGGTCGATGATGAAGATGAAAAAGAGGAGTCTGAGGAGCAAGAAAACATCACTTCAGATGAAGTCAGCCAAACAGAGCAACTGAAGCAACTAAGAGATTCTTTAAAACGACTTCAAGTATTACAGGATACTATCGATCGACGACAAGGTTACCAAATAAGGACATTGGAAAATTTGATGGAGGATTTCTTGAAACAGGGAAACGATGAATGGAAAAGGCAAATGGAAGAGTTTGAAAGGAGAGTTGAAATCTGGGAAGCGAGAAATACGTTGTACGGCAGGTACAAGAACTGGAAAGTGAGAACGCTGACGTAAAGAACCGATTGAGAGATCTACTGCACACAATTATGCGATTGCAGAGTTTAGTGCTTGGGATGGATACTCGTAAAGAAGCGTTGGAAGGCCAAGTCGCAGAGCTTGTATCAAAAAATAACCGACTTGAGAGTGAGATCAATGCTACAAAAGCAACAATGCAACAAGCGTCGCAAGAAACACTCCAGCCATTGCAGTCCCGACTAGATCAACTATTTGGCTACATCAGGGCACAGCAAAACGTAACGGCCACAATCCAGAGAAACTGGCAAGGCATCACTGAGGCCATGCAGCGTTTACAAGATTTGAGTAGAGATCTGGATGTGTCGACAGCTTTGATGAAAGACGAAACTTTTAATCGTTTTAGCAGTCTCTCTACACAATTAGAAGAATTGAAAACCGGATACAATAATTTGAACAATTTCACCAACAGTCTGAGGTCACAGTTCCAAAACCTTGCCGCCGATAATGACAAAATACAAGTCGAGTTTGACATCAGTCATGAACGTTACAATGATCTTGAGCAATCAGTCACCCAAGAAATTGAACAAAAAAACGAACTCACCAGCGGAATTCAAGAGATGTTCACAAAAATAAACAATACGCTGAAGGGAATGGGAACTACGGACAAAAGTAAATACACAGAGCTGGAGACAAGGATGAAATATGTTGAAAATGCTACATCATATATGGAAAACAAACTCGGAATTATCGAAAGAAAGACGGAGGATTACAAAAGACGGCCTCATTACTGGGAAGTTCTTACACCTGTTTAAGTCAGCAAGTTCAAGGTGAGAAGTGCAATGTGTTGTAAATCTGTGCAAGGCTGGAAAAATTAGTTGACATGCCTTTTTACCCTCATTTTAAGAGTACATTGGCAGGACCCCCAATTGTGAGTGGCCTCTTCTGAACTAACACAAACAGGCAAAAAACAAATCATATTTTTGGGAGGGCCTAAGATGTAAAAAGCAAAAATTTATATTTCTGGTTGTCAAACACATCAGTTAATAAAAATGTTCCAGCTACAAGGTTTTTGACAGAATTTTTCAAAAAAGAAAAGAAAAATTGACTTAAAAAATCAACATAAAATAAAAGTACTATAATTTTAATGAAAATTTAAAAAATAAAACACACCCACACCAATTTTGCAAAAAAATTGATTAGTCACTGTTTTTTTATTACTTTTTTTATGTCAAACTCTGCATGAAACTAAGTCTAATTGAAAGTAAATTTGAAAGTCTGTCTACACTTTTTTTCCCCCCGTACCTTTCTCAAAATGAATGTATACCATAATCTGAAAAGGAAACAATTTTACTATTTTCTATTTTTTCATTGCATTTTGACTGATTGAGTTGGATCTTTTTTTTTTGGTGATTTAATATTATTATTATTCAAATACCACACAATGAATCTACTAAAAACTATTTAATTTCCATCACCAGAAATTTTCAACATTTCATAACTTGGCTTGCTATACTAAAACTAAATTCACTGTCACTTGGTATTCCATGAACCTCCTTCAGAGTATCACTGATTGTCAAACAAAAAATTAAAACATTTTTAATCAGACTTTGATTAACCCTTTAAAGACCGTATAATATCCCACCAAATTGTGGATGCATCAATTTCCCAATTTTACAAATTTTTAATTGTTAATTTTGTATCAAACGGGCATAAATTTTCAGGAAATATATAATAATATTTTAATAATTTTTGTTTTATTAGGACACAATTGCTACTTTACTGACTGCAGTGAACTATATCGATTTGGTGCTGTTAGAACATCTGGAGTGTACACAATTAAACAAGAAGACAGTACATCGCCAATGAGTGTGTGGTGCGACATGGAAACAGACGGCGGTGGATGGACAGTGTTTCAGCGCCGATTTGATGGGTCGGAGGACTTCTATCGCAACTGGACCGAATATAAAAATGGTTTTGGTGATGTTGACAAAGAACATTGGCTTGGCAACGATAACATCAATCGCTTCACGAAAAGCGGCAAGTTCAAGCTACGTATAGACCTTGACGATTGGCGTGGGGAAACAAGGTATGCGACTTACGATGTTTTTCGCGTTGACGACGAAGCTGATAAATACTATTTACGAGTTGGTGGCTACAGTGGCAATGCTGGCGATTCGATGGTTTATCACCATGGTGCCGAATTTAGTACGTATGACGTGGATAATGATGGGAGTGCCGCTGAAAACGCAGCTCAGAGGTGGAAAGGAGGTTGGTGGTATCGACGTGGGTGGAATGCTAACCCAAACGGACTATATTACCAGAACGGGGTTTACTCCAGCAAAGACGAATGGACTGATGGTGTTGTGTGGGATAAATGGCAAAGCTGGTGGTATTCTCTTAAAGCAACCAAATTAATGATCAAGCGACAGGACTAGAATACTTAAACAGTATTAAATGATTAAAATAATCATTTTTGGGGCGAAAATGGCAATAACAGGCCCAGCTTGGCATAGGGTACTCCCCTCCCATAAAAAACACATGTGCATGCAAATTTCTATACAAAAGTGGATTCATGAAAATTAAGATAAGAAGTGATTCTAACACATTGCCTGCTGAAAATGAATGGGGGGGGGGGGCGTCAGCAGGAAATGTATTAAAGGCCTATATATACATTAAGGAATACTTTTATGAAGTTTGGTGACAAAATTTTATCATTTAGACTAGCTGAAATCAACTTAAGTAACGATGATTTGAATAACTAATTTGGGAAATCAATCAACTTTTTACAAGTTATAATATTATAAAAAAAAACATACTCCCTATTTCACAGACTGAACAGTGGATTCACGACTGGACTACAGCATTTTAAACAGTCTGATTAAGGTTTGATGTCAGGAGATGCCATTTAGACAATGGATAGGACATAATTGCATCAGCAAGGATGTGTAATTATATCAGCATTATTCAGTTTGTTGAAAACTAGATAGAAGTTGTAATTTTATCAGCGAGTTCATCATGAAATCAAAGTTTGCTCCTCCGTGATGGGTAAAATATCATTCTATAAATTGGTTGTCATGAAAACAATCAGTAAATCATCATGTCTTTTCCTGGGTATCTAGTAGTTTTAATTAAACTGACAGTAAACATTTTGGGATTTTGTTTGTTATACCTGGCTCTACCTCACAAAGTTACGCAGAACATGAAATGCTTTCCTATTGAATCCATGAAAATTCAATGAATTCATTTAGCGTGAATTTCACCCCCTCTGGTCATCAGGCTTTGTCCAGCCCTAAACAAAAAGGTCAGTTTTGTGGTAAAACACTAAAACTGATAAATATGAATGATAATGTTGTAATAAAAGAAATTTAGCAGTGCATAACATCTGTAAATTATTTGTTATATTAAAAATTATATTAAAATTGACTTTTGCAAGAAACAAATATTTCCTATATTTGTAAGCATTGAATGGGGTCTTGATCTCTTTGAGAAAATATTTTTACATTTTGTGCATTTTTTACTAATTTTCATCATCATTTGGACCATAATGACAGTTATTGTTATTTGTTTTTGATCAAAACGTTTGTCAACATTTCATGTGGAGAGGAGCAGATAACAAAATTGTTTTGTAAATGGTACCACCAAATTCTCAGTTTAACTTATTTTTATACATTTTAATTTGACTTTTATATGATCAAAGATACAATCAGTATTGCATTTTCATGACGTATCTTTGGAAGAAAAAGATGTATAATAATACAAGAATACCTCATATGCACTCAGACAGTATGCTGTTGCATCGACCTTTGCTTTGCGTCGGTCGGTCGATACTACTGCTCTACTGTCTTCGAGTATACTTTGAGGTTTCCTTGAATAACCTCATATTATTGTCAAATATGTGTGGGTTACTGACAACAACATAGCTTATAGTATGATTGTCTTTCATCTTGTTGTGCTACATGCAACATTTGATAGAAAGAAAAACACTTTTTGAAAACAAGTACTAATCAGATTTTGTATTTGTAATGCATCTCTCTTATAAGTTTTCACTTTGTTGGTCAAACCGATATTTTAAATACATTCTTGAAACCTTTTTTCAAAACTGTTTAACATTGCGTTCTAGAATTTGGGTTAGGGATTTATTTACTGATAATATTGGTAGTTTTCAAAATTGCAAAAAAACAACAAAATGGCCGCCATGACATGGACTTTCCCTCACTGACCGGGAAACTTCCCTGCTGACCCACAAACTTGGTTTCAATCATTAACAGAGAAGGTTAAATAATCTAGCAACGCAAGAACCCAACAAATTTAAAGGTTATGACCTCTATCCTTCATTCCACATAAGCATTCTTAAATTAAATGTTGTACAGTATTTAGAAAAACTACACTCCATCTTTTTCATTAAAGTGTACTTCTGAACATTTTTTCTGCATTTCATCTGAGGGCACTGTTTAAAATTTCACTGGCTATGGCATTATTCAAAACTTTCAATACCTAAGATTGTATTGTCAAAAAACATTAATTTAAATTTTGAGTACTTTGGTAAAAAATCAAATATGAAAGCTTCAGCGTTTGTGGGTTATACTAATAGATATACATGTACCTGACACTGTTTATCATCTAATTTATTATTTGTCTACACTACAATAAATCACATCATGCATTGCTGTTTGAATTTTGGCTTGGGAGTGCACTAAACTAAGAAGTAAATAATGTTTAACGTTCGCTTGGATGTTGTGTAAAAATTTGTGAAATAATCATCATATAAAAACAAGAGAAACTGGAGTAAACAAATAACAAACAGCTTAAGAGGAAACAACCTATTAAAGAGTCTTGAAGGCATCCCAGTCTATTCCCTATTTTCATATCAAATGATTTTGTAGTATAGCCCAAATTTGATTTCTGAACAAGAATCTCGTGTGGTTCAGTGACTTGATGGCATCCTTAGATTCAAAGAACTCATTCACCACTAACTGTACAAAACTGCTCAATGGAGTTTAGATATTGACAAGAAGGATATATTGCGAATCCGTTAGCTGTTGTATTTATTACTGTATATATATTACTCATCATGCCAAAGGTGTCAAATAAAATATTGATGACAATACAACTTCAATCTTTCATCACAAATTCACAAAATAGTCCTGTTATAGTCTGCACTCTCCTTCAGAAGACTGGAACGAAAAATAGTCAAACTTTTTGAGTAAAAACTGAAAATTGACTCAAATTTTGTCTGTTGGCTCCAAAATTAGGGTTTCCAGAAATATTGAAGAATATAAGAAAACAAGCAGCCAGTCGGCTGAGATAGCTCCGCTGTTAGCATTGAACATTTCAATTAAAGAACAGAAGATATCATTAGAAAATTAACAATATGTACATGTATAGTATGTATAGCACTTTTTACCAAAAATGACAAAAATATTCACCAAAATTAGAGAATTGAGGATATCATCACGAAATGAACAAATCTCAGAATGGTCCACATGTAGCATCTATATATGTAATATCAAAGCAATTGGACTTTTGGTTTTAACAAGAAGTCGAAAATATCACTTTTTACCAAAAATGACAAAAATGTTCACCAAAATTAGAGAATTTAAGATATCATCACGAAATGAACAAATCTGAGAAAGGTCCACATGTAGTATCTATATATGTAATATCACAGCAATTGGACTTGCGGTTTTTAACAAGAAGTTGAAAATATCACTTTTTACCAAAAATTACAAAAATATTCACCAAAATTAGAGAATCGAAGATATCATCATGAAATTAACAAATCTAAGAGAGGTCTACCCCAGGTACATACACACCAAGTATCAAAACATTCAGGCTTGTAGTTTTCAAGAAGAAGTCGAAAAAGTAAAACATTGACAAGGACGACGACGGACAATCACTCATATGATAAGCTCCGCTCGACAGAGTCTGGTGGTGGAAAGATTAAAGACATAGTGCAACATTTCCAATGCTGCCACTAGAGGGCACAGTGTATCATTACTCACCATTTTATTAGAGGGCATTGTAACATTTCCATTTATTTTTACTAGAGGGCAGTGTAGCACATTGATTAGATTAGGCATTTTGTACTATTTTATTGGAGAAGCAAAGATTTCCATTAAAATCAACTAACAAAGATAAATAATTTTGAGTAGCTTACCTTTCAGTTGTACTGAATGCATAGAGATCCCATGATAATGTTCCAAGAAGCACTACATCTTTGTTTACAGATGTTATACACATTACTCTGGAATCAAACTATGAATAAAGCATAAAATAAACGGCATGACAAACAGACAAGATGGATGAAATGATGATCATGTACATGCAGCACATTGAGAACAGTCATCCTTCTGTGAGACTTGTATGAACTGCTCTGCGATCTCCTGCTTTCAGTGGTGCTGTCATGAATTTGTTTTCGCGTATCTGTTAACCGACTTAATTAACTGATTATTAGCGAATTGCTGTGTTATGTCTGTCATCGTCTAGGCCTATTTGAAGTTTTGGACGGAACTTGGCTCAGTGGTTTGGAACTAATTACGAGATATCCGTCGCGATTCTGACAGTTGGTATTCATAGTTATTAATGTAGTGAACGATTAATCAAAAGATATGACGTATTCAGTACTTAGTTTGATTGGCTTTATGATTGAAGGTTACGCCTTAGAGTCTTTTTACTGCTTTGTAATTGGTTAGAGTTTTGAAAATGAATAAAGAGAGTTTGAGTTGGTCTTGAAGAATACTCCACGACAGACGCAGCCTAGGGCAGTCGAGTCGAGTCCGAGAGAGTCCAGGGGCGAGCCTTGAGGCAGTCCAGTCTTGGGCTAGTCTTGGGTCAGCCTTGGACAGTCTTGGGGACTTTTCCCCAGGGCGCTGTGTCTGGTAGAGTGCTCGATTGATCGACTAAGACGAGAGCTGAAACGTATTTCGTTGTGTGTGCCTTATTTGACTGTAAAGTATAAGTGACTTTCCCGATCCCGTACCTCAA